ACACACAATAGACGATCTAATCTTAAAGATCAGAAGAAGAGTGAGGGAGAGGAAAAGAAAAGAAAAAGGGGGGGGGAGAGAGATGGGGCGGGGGAAACTAAAACTGAAGGACATCTATAAAAGGGCCGCTGTGTAATTAAGAAAATTTGACAAAATTAATATCGACTACAGGTTACAAATCAAATATAAATATATAAAAAACAAAATAACGATTATCTAATCTAGCAAGGATCTATATTTCTATGTTCAAAACACATACGTATATACACATACACAACAACATATTTATATTTACACGTACATACACACATATATATATATATATATATATATACGTATTTTATTACGTATATTATTATATTATATTATTTATATTACGTATATATATATATATATATATATATATATATATATATATATATATATATATATAAGTTCTATATTACGCGTTCCCATTGAAGCAATCACAAAACTTTTCATTAATAAGAAATCTGTCGTAAGTGTCGAAATCGACACCTTCATATTTCGACGTTTCTTTCAAACTGATGCCTTAATTTCGTTTCATTACATAAAGAACATCAGCCGTCCCCTGTTTAATATCTCTTAATATATATAAGAGAAAAAAAAACATCAAGATTTTGACACGGAAACAAGGGTCATCAACTCCAAGCCTGTCATTCGCTAAAATACGAACGGACAAGTGGGGAGTTTTCGCAAACAAAACGATAGGGAGTAGGCAGGCTGGGGAAGAATTTATACTGCCACATATGAAATTAGGATGACACAAAAGATTGATGGGTTACCACGGTGATACCGGCCTCCTGTTATGGTATATTTCCATTATGTCATTGTTATTAATGGGTAATTTTCTAACATGGCATTCGGTGTGTAGAGTTACGTCCCTTTACGCGGGCCTTGCTTTAAAGAGTCCTAAGGGGAAATAAAAATTCGTTCAGGAAGAGTAGAACATGTATTTTTGTTTGTTTTATTTTTCACTTAATATTCTGTTAATATACGGAGTTGACACTTTCGGAGTACATTTTTTAATTATTTACAGAGGTTAGATTTTGTCAATGATTGACACATACTGTGGTACGTATGCAGAGAATAATTTTATCATTTGTGTTTGATTTTGTTATTACAAAAAGTGCATGCCTATCTCTTTTCCTCAGTCAATTTCTTACCTCTTGCTTTTCTTCTTCTTCATCTAGCTTTTCTCAATCTTCTTCTTCTTCTTCTTCTTCTTCTTCTTCTTCTTCTTCTTCTTCTTCTCCCAGTCTTCTTCTCTTCTTCTTGCTTTTCCCATTCTTCTTTTTATTCTTACCTCCTACTTTTCCCACTCTGCTTCTTCTTCTTGCTTTCCCCATTCTTCTCCTCCTCCTCCTCCTCCTCCTTCTTCTTCTTCTTCTTCTTCTTTACCCACTCTTCTTCTTCATCTTTTTCCTCTTCTTCACTCTTTTTCTCTGTACCTCTCATCTACACTGTATATCTCTCTCCCTTTATTTTTTCTTCACTTCCCTTTCTCACTATGTCCCCACACCACTTCACTTCTCCCTCTATCTGCTGCTCTCTCTCCTTCACTCTTTTCTCATTCTCCCTTTTATTCTGTCTCCTTTGCCCTTACTCTCCACTTCCCCTTTTTCTACCTCTTTTTCCTTTCTCTTCTGTCTCTATCGCTCCTTCTTTTTCAATACAACTTTGTTTAAACACGAAATAGGAACCAAATACAAAATACGCTTCGAAGTCAAAAATTATCCGCACTTTCGCTTTAACATATCTTTAGCTCTGATACGCTGCCTTCTATACTACTATTGTGGTACGGTGGAGTAATGGATAGCGGCTCGGATTGAGAAATCGGAGAACCGAGTTCGAATTTCAGTCGAATCCATTACATTCACTTACGTGCTAATACCCTTGGAAAAGATCTCAAAGACATACCGTCGCCTCCCTCTGCCTTTTTTTACAAATACTTTCATGGTAACTGCTCCGATGAGCTGCTTTCGCTGGTTCCCAGACTTCATGAATTTAAGCGTTCAACTAGGCTGGCATCTCGCTCTCACCCTTTCACTGTCGAAACTGTTAAATGTTGCCGTCTCTTCTACTCCAATAGCTTCGTGTCTCGTACTTCTCGCCTGTGGAACTCCCTCCCTATTTCTTGTTTTCCTGATAGCTATAATGTCCAACTATTCAAATATAATGTCAATCGACGTCTCCAGATGCCTTGATCTATCCCCTATCCTTCTCTTCATCCTTTCCTCTATCACTCCTATCTGCTCTCACTCCAACTCTCTGTAACCCCTTGCGTGCTAGTGGCTTCCCGCCATGCTTGGATTGAAACACTTAAAAAAAGATAAATAAATATGAATCCTCTTCTTCTCTTCCCCTCCACTTATGGATAAATAACAGGACATATTGGATGGCAACTGGTCTACCGCAGAAAGAAATGGCAACCTACTGCGCGAAAAAAATCTGCCTCATCAGTCATGTATCGAAAGATACATGATCGCCTAAGTGTGTATCATGCATGGCACATAAATGACTATTGTGGTCATGTGATTAAAGTTTAAGCTTGATCTCGCCAGTTTTCTTGCTGCTGTCACAATGTAAACATGGCCGCTCCGCTAGCAGTGTGCACCAAGGGAGAACAAAGAGCAATGATCCGAATCTGCAGAGAACATGCAACCTCATCGATGATAATTCGCCGGTTCGCCATTACCACATCTCGAGCTTGCTGAATCTTCTCGTCTGGTGGGGATTGGTGGGCAACTTGCTCCTAGATCATGGTCGTTTGTTCGTCTACTTTTAAACATCTCGATCAACTCATTCATACTTCTACACGGTAGTGCTCTGTCGACGTATTGTGTTCCCCACCTCCGGTGAATTTCAGCCCCTAACACACCTTAAGACCTGCTCTTTGTTTCTCCTTGGTACACACTGTTAGCGGAGTGGTCATGTTTGCACTGTATCAGCAGTAAGAAAACTGGCGCGATCAAGCTCAAACCTCTATCACATGAATAAAGTATTACCAAATATAAACAGGCATGAGAGACGACAGTGTGACAAACCTAAAGACAAGTTAGGGCGAACATGCGAGTAATTTTGATTTACCCTCATATATATATATATATATATATATATATATATATATATATATATATATATATATATAAAATGGATAAAGTCCGACAATTATTTTAAGACATTTTATGTTTATAAATTTTTTTTATAAAAATGTCTTAAAATAATTGTCCAGTTCATAATGTGTGACATCATTTGTTTACATTTGGTTACGCTTTGAGCAGATATGAATGTACGTGAGAGATTCGTGGAAGATTGAAGTCTAAAAGCAGTAAAATCAACCTTGCTAATATATATATATATATATACTCGGCTCTCCCATCGAATTCGACGTATGATGGTCAAGCAAATTAGTTCCTAGGAAACCGACAGCCCGACAACAGCACATGAGATTTGATTATAGTGGTGAAAGTTTCGTGCAGGACCATCCACACTTTTTGAAGGGCCGAATACAGAGACCTGGTGCATTAAGTGCCACAAGGTCCCCAAACGACCCTCCGCCGATTTTGAATTCAGAGTTGTCCTTCTCCTAGACCAGTTGCCATCCAAGGCTATAGAACCCAGTCTGTCCTACTATTTTACCCATTGCTGGAGGGAGAAGAGCATTCACACCTTTCCCAAGGGCATTAGCACGTATATATATATATATATATATATATATATTATTATATGTTATATTTATAGATATAGATGTTCGAGATGTTTTTTTTAAGACATAGATGTTCGAGATGAATCGAAAATAGGAATTTGGGAATGAAAACTCTAATGATTTGATCTGACATGCTGTTAATCATTCAGTCACAAAGAAACGTCTGGTTAGCAAAGTCGGAATTACTGTTTGCTAACCAGACGCTTCTCTGTCGCTGAATGGTTCCAGCACGTCAGATCAAATGACGGTTCCCATTAGGGTTACAGGTTCGATTCCTGTCAGAGAGCGCGTATCTTCTACGAAATTTCTAGAATCTTCTGAATGATAAATGAAATTAACAACGTTTAATTAAAAAAAAAAACTGAGCATTTACTCAAAAAATTATATCTATAAAAATAACGTGTACACAGAAAATATATTAAATAAATGTCGGACCTAATATCCATTTCATGATATATATATATATATATATATATATATATATATATATATATATATATATATATATATATGTGTGTGTGTGTGTGTCTGTGTGTGTGTTTTTTCTTGGTTTCTGGTACATATTTAAATATAAATTGTCCAATATATGCGAGTAATTTCGGCTTCATATAAGCGATTATCTAAGAGATATCTGTTAATGTCTAACCCCACCCCTACGAGGGATGTATGTGGCACAAGGCCGAGTTTACCGTGGGTTGTCCGAACCAGTAGGCTCGCCCAAAAGATTCCCTTAGAACCCGTATGAACGGGTTCAGGGTCTGTCTACCTCCCCGGACGAAAATATGCCCGTCGGCAAAGCCTCGTCCGGGTTCTTCTCTGCTCGAGGCAGATAATTCGACAGTTGAACAGATTATGGCACTGTTCTAAGAAATATCTGTTTTTTGTGATATATCAGTTCCATCATTCACGTTCACTGTCTACAAAAGCGCTTCATTTATTATAACATATTTGTAACTAAAATTCTTGAAAATGGTTAATTGATTAGCCGAAAGCTTTCGGAATAATAAAAATAAATCATTTGGGCTATTTTTAGTCTCAATGACGTCAGAGTCAGAAATTGGTCGGTGGTGTCATATTGGTTGATCTCAGGATGTATCAACCCTTGTTGGGTTATTTAATGGCGAATTTTGTGTAGGGGAACCTACTGGGAATCGAAATCACTTCTCAGAAGTAATGGTTTAGCAGGCTAGACTCACTAACCACTAAGCTAAGTAGAGGCAGCTCGTAAAATAGTGTTCTGTTAATCTGTGAAGACAGAAAAAGTGGTCTGACTTCAAAATGGGTATCCACTAAAATGAAGTGTGATTTTAGAAAGAGAAAAGGGGAGAGACAAAATAAAACAAACAGAAATATGAACCAAGTGGGATTGATAGATAGATAGATAGATAGATAGATAGATAGATAGATAGATAGATAGATAATTATGGCCATGATAGATAGATAGATAGATAGATAGATAGATAGATAGATAGATAGATAGATAGATAGATAGATAGATAGATAGATAGATAATGACGAGACTGAGATAGATAGATAGATAGATAGATAGATAGATAGATAGATAGATAGATAGATAGATAATGATAGATAGATAGATAGATAGATAGATTGTCAGAAATAGAGCAATAAAGACGTTGATGAAATACATAGAAAAAACACACGATGATAGAAAAAGATAGACAGAAAGAAAGATAGATAGATGAGAAAGAGAGAGACTCAAAATGCACACTTACATACACACACAAACACATGAAACACAAACACACACTGACATATACACAAATACACCCGCCCACACACAGTCACAGAGAAACAAACATAAACACATTTTCATACTGACATGCAGATAGAAAGATAGACAAATAGATAGATATATGTATAAATAGATAGAAACATAAATAGATAAGATGACACAAACACACATAACCTCTATAGATAGATAGATAACGATGGATAGTCTGTGTTAGATGAAAATAGATAGATAATGATAAAATGATAGGGATAGATAGATAGATAGATAGATAGATAGATAGATAGGCCTTAGGTGGATGAATGTCGAAATGAACCCTTTATTTCGCTCAGATAGACTGTTCTGATTCCATTCATAGACAGGCATAGATAAATAGATAGATAGATAGATAGATAGGGTGGAGTTCAATGACCGGTTAAGGCACTGGAGAACTAGATAACTGATCCATTAAAGATGGAACATGGATAGAGCGAAATAAAGGGATAGATTCCAATAGAGCGTAGATAATGATGAGTCCGAATAATGGGATAGATAGATAGATCATCTCAGAAATATAGATAGAAAGGCCGAAACGTTGATAAATAATGACGAGATGAGGACAATAGTCCGAATAATGAAATAGTGATAATAATGATCTCAGAAATATAGACAGATACTGAAAGGCCGATAGATTGATAAATAGACAAAGATGAGGATAGATAGATAGATAGATAGAAATAGTGATAATGACGAGATCTCAGAAATATAGACAGATACTGAAAGGCCGAAACGTTGTATAGATAGATAAAGATGAGGACAATGTCCGAATAATGAAATAGATAGATAGATCTCAGAAATATAGACAGATACTGAGGCCGATAGATGTAATAAATATGATAAAGATAGATAGATAGATAGATAGATAGATATAGATAGATAAAAGACGAGAACGTTGTAATAAATATGATAGAAAGATGAGGATAATAGATCCGAATAATGTAAATAGTGTACATAATACCTCATCTCAGAAATATAGATAGATAGAAAGGATAGATAGTTCTATAGATAGATAGAAAGATGAGGACAATAATGACCGAATAATGTAAATAGTGTACATAGATAGATGGATCTCATAGATAGATAGATAGATAGATAGAACGATGGATAAATATGGACGAAGATGAGGATAATATCCGATAGATGTAATAGATCGATAGATAGATGGAAATATAGATAGATAATGAAAGACTGGGATAGATGTATAAATAGATAAGATGAGGATAGTCCGATAGATGTAAATAGATAGATAGATCTCAGAAATATAGACAGATACTGAAAGGCCGATAGATAGATAAATATGGATAAGATGAGATGGATAGATAGATAGATAGATAGATAGATAATGACGATCTCAGAAATAGATAGATACTGAAAGGCCGAAACGTTGATAAATATGATAGAAAGATGAGATGTCCGAATAATGAAATAGTGTACATAATACCTCATAGAAATATAGACAGATACTGAAAGGCCGAATAGATAATAAATATGGATAAATGACGAGACTAGTCCGAATAATGGATAGATAGATAATATCTCAGAAATATAGACAGATACTGAAAGGCCGAAAGACTTAATAAATATGATGACAAAGATGAGATAGATCCGAATAATGTAAAGATGTAGATAGATACTCATCTCAGAAATATAGACGAGATACTGAAAGGATGAAACGATGTAATAAATATGGCGATAAAGATGAGATGGATAGTCCGATAATGTAAATAGTGTACATAATACCTCATCTCAGAAATATAGACAGATACTGAATGGCCGAAACGATGTAATAAATATGGCGACAAAGATGAGGACAATAGGATAGATAATGGATAGATAGATAGATCTCAGAAATATAGATAGATACTGAAAGGCCGAAACGATAATAATGAACGATGAGGACAATAGGAATAATGTAAATAGATAGATAATAGATATCTAGAAAGATAGACAGATACTGAAAGGCCGAAACGTTGTAATAATATGATGACAAAGATGAGGATAGAGTCCGAATAATGTAAATAGTGTAGATAATATATCTCAGAAATATAGACAGATACTGAAAGGCCGAAACGTTGTAATAAATATGGAACAAAGATGAGGACAATAGTCCGAATAATGTAAATAGTGTACATAATACCTCATCTCAGAAATATAGACAGATACTGAAAGGCCGAAACGTTGTAATAAATATGGCGACAAAGATGAGGACAATAGTCCGAATAATGTAAATAGTGTACATAATACCTCATCTCAGAAATATAGACAGATACTGAAAGGCCGAAACGTTCTAATAAAATATGGCGACAAAGATGAGGACAATAGTCCGAATAATGTAAATAGTGTACATAATACCTCATCTCAGAAATATAGACAGATACTGAAAGGCCGAAACGTTGTAATAAATATGGCAACAAAGATGAGGACAATAGTCCGAATAATGTAAATAGTGTACATAATACCTCATCTCAGAAATATAGACAGATACTGAAAGGCCGAAACGTTGTAATAAAATAATGGCGACAAAGATGAGGACAATAGTCCGAATAATGTAAATAGTGTACATAATAATTCATCTCAGAAATATAGACAGATACTGAAAGGCCGAAACCTTGTAATAAATATGGCAACAAAGATGAGGACAATAGTCCGAATAATGTAAATAGTGTACATAATACCTCATCTCAGAAATCATGTTAATTTCCCTCTGAAAGTTCTCCACAGCCTTAACCGAGTATTGAACTCACACTCTTTGGGTCCTGTCACTAAATCTAACCAACGCCTTTATCCACTTGAGGACATCTGTGTATCAATTTATGTGTATTATAAACCTAATGTCATCAGCAACCATTTTTTGCCAGTGCAAATTTTTGCAATTTTTGCTGTTATCATACATAATTTTTTACCAGAGCTCATATTGCAATTTTTGTTGTTATTATCGCTTTTCTCTGGCACTCCTTATTACTGATTCCCATATTGTATTCGTTTCTATGCTTAGTCGGCTCAGGTCTCAGAAATATAGACAGATAAGTGTCCAACAAAATAAAACGGGCAGCTGCTCTCGAAAATGACCTCCAATTAGTTGTTAACTGGGGCAAGAAATGGCTTGTAAATTTTAACGCCCATATTTTAATCACTATAGCGAACCATTTTTTACCCTCCGTCATCATGGCTGATGATAACCGTCAGGAGAACAACTCATTGTATCTTCTTGATCTTACGCCTTCTACTGACTTCTCTCTAGAATCCTTCTTGCACAATAAATATTGCTGCTATATCTTGTCTGGTGCTCCGCCTATATATCTAGAGATTATCGATAAAACCCAAAGAATGGTCTGCAATGTTATCGGTCCTGACCTGGTATCTCGACTTGTCCTTTTCTCACAGCCATAACGTGGCCTACCCCTGTCTTTTCTATAAATACTTTTATAGCAGTTATCCTAAACAGCTTTCCCACTTGAACCATCGACCGCATAGACTTAAGCATCCAACTTTGAATACGTCTAATAAAAAAAACTGCCATTTATTATCAACTAATTTCTTTTTATATGCCATGTCCTTTCAGGACGTAGGCGATCATGGCTCTCCCCCTCCTATCACTTGGAGCTCTTAACAAGTTCCCTCCTTTTACCACTTCCCCCAGAGCACGCCCTGTTATCCACTTGATTAAGCCCTCTAGGTATGTTATTCGTTGTTTTCCTCTATCTCTCTTTCCCTCTATTCCACCCGTGAGTATCAGATTTTCCAGCCCCCACCCCTTCCTCGTTATGTGTCCCCCGGAAACTCCAGCTGCCTCTTCCTGGTGTTAAGTATAAGCCTTCTCCTTGTTTGCATCCTCTGTAAGACATCATCGTTGTTCACACGCTCGGTCTATGATATCCTTAGCATCCTTCTGTAGATCCATATCACCGTCGCCTCTATTCTCTTCTTCATCTTTGAGGAAATCATCCAACATTCACTGCTATGAAGAAGGACAGATCTCACGTAACAGCTCAGTATTCTTTTCTTTGTTACCAAAGAAATCCTCCTGTTTCGCAATACTCTGCCCAGCTTTTGGAATGCGTCCTTGGCCATCCCAATACGTCTACGGATCTCAGTGTCACACTTACCGTCCTCTGTCAAGACGCTTCCCAGATATTTAAACTTCTGCGACTGCTTGACTCTAGTGTTCCCCACCTGCAAATCGCGTTTCAGGCTCATCCTTTTACCGATGACGATGCATTCTGTCTTCTTGTAGTTTATACTTAGTCCTTTCTTCTCCGTCGCTATACTTTGCAGGAGATTTTGTAATTTCTTTTCCATGTCTGCTATCAGTACTGTATCATCTGCGTATCTTTTGCTGTTAAGAGTGTGGCCGCCTATGCTAAATCCCGGTAGGGTTTCCAATTCTCTCAGAATCGCCCCGCTGTATAGGTTGAACAGGTCGGGTGAGAAGACGTATCCTTCCCTTACACCCCTTTTTTATTTTTGTATATTCACTGAACTCACTGCTGTTTGCTGCCAGTATAGGTTCTTGATTATTCTGATATCTTTCCCGAATATATCAAGGTTGTTGAGCAGTTCCAGTGGATCCTTGTGGCGTACTTTGTCGGAAGCCTTTGCGTAATCTATGAAACATAGGTACACGTCCTTTCGCATTTAAAGAGCCTAAAAAGGTCGCATTAGTCCGTGTTAAAGTATTCTCTTTTTGGACCCAGTGGCTGTTCAAAATTTCACAGCAGTCTGCCAAATCGTCAGTCAGGATTGCAACCACCTAGCTCGTTCTGTTCTCCTTAATCTCGCCCCGAATTTAGGAAAGGTTACTAGGAACCAATTCTATATTGTATTAGTGGGGAGAAGCCGTCAAATTTCAGTGTTGCACTCTTTTGACAAAAGACATGACCTGCTACATGACCTTTTGACTATACGTAAGCTCATTGACTGCCGACTGACTAACCCTCAAGGAGAGTGTCTGTTCAGTCCTGTACAGTAACGCCACCTCGAATTTGCGGTCAAGTTACATCGAAAGCGCGCGCTCTAGGTCCTCGACATGTGCTACATGGCTGGATACTATCCAAGACGGCGATGCTTACACATTGTTCGAATTTACTCTGAAGGATTATTAAGCATATATTAGATTAATGATTGATCACCTATCAATTTTTTTTAAGGAATTCTTCAAATTATTTATTGGTCGTGAGAACTTATTAAAACATCTATCCAACTGTTTTTGATTAAATCATGTGTTTAGAGATAAGCTACACGGAATTTTATCTGGGTGGGCAGAGAGAAAACGTGGTCCTAGGTTAGGTTGGGAGATGGTAGGTTCAGATGATGTGAATGGCATCAAAAGGGGGGAAGTATAAATTAGAAAGAAAGAAAGAAAGAAAGAAAGAAAGAAAGAAGAAAAGAAAAGTGAATAAGAACGAATAAAGTGAAAGAAAGAATAAAGACTATGAATGGAAGATGAAAGAAAGAAAGAAAGAAAGAAAGAAAGAAAGAAAGAAAGAAAGAAAGAAAGAAAGAAAGAAAGGCAAAATTAAAAAAAGAAATAAAAAATGGATTAAATATAAAAGAAAGAAAGAAGACAATATAAGAAAAAACGAATAAAAGTGAAAGAAAAAATAATAAAACAAAGTAACAAAACAGAAAGAAAAAAGAAAAACAAACAATAAAAAATAATCAAAAATAAAAGAAAGAAAGAAAGAAAGAAAAAAGGAAAATGAATAAGAACGAATAAAGTGAAAGAAAGAATAAAGACAATGCATGGAAAATGAATCAAAAACGAATCAAAGGTAAAAGAAAGAAAAAGAAAGAAAGAAAGAAAGAAGGTATGAGAAAAACGAATAAAAAAGAATAAGTAAAAGAAGAATGAAAATGTCAGAAAAATGAATCAAAAGCGAAAGAAATACAGAAGAAAATGTAAAAAAGGAAGGAAAGTAAAAAAAAAGACAAAGTAAAAAAAAAAAAAGACAAAGTAAAAAAAATAAAAAGAAAGAAAGAAAACTAAATAGCTCCAAACAAAAAAAAAAATAAAGGGAAAAATAAATGCCGAAAAAAGAAAGAAAACAAAATTTGAGGAAGTAAAACAGAAATAAACGAGCCAGCGATTTTTTTAACTGTCAGGAAAAAAGAAAGAAATTTAAATAAATATCTATTATCTTTTAAAAGTTAAGTTTAGAAAAAATCGAGACTGATATAGATAGATAGAAGAAGACGAGACTGACAAAGATAGATAGATAGATAGATAGATAGATAGATAGATAGATAGATAGATAGATAGATGTAGACTATATTCACTATATGAAACTATATAACTATGAGACAACATTTATCCAAATATGAAAAATTATGACTGAAACCCGATTGAGACTAGTGGGGCTTTTAATAATACCCTCCCTATTTCTATAATAATAATTCAAAACAAAAACGTTACCTCATTATAAAGTAGACTCAGACCATTAAGAATAAAAATAACACTGAATCACCTTGCTGATAATATTCAGTAATGTCCCATTTTTTGTTAAGACTTCGTACGTTTAATTTTTTTAAGTAATCTGACCATAAATAACGGATGTAGAAACCCAATGTAGATTAAGTAAGAAATAATGTAAATAAATCTAACAACATCAAAAAAAAAAAGAAAAAAAGGGCTAACGAGAGTTTTCGTATTTGGGAATTTTTTCAAAGATCGAAATTATGGTAAGATTCCCTCCTCCACATTCATCTAATGGGAATTTAACTTGGGTTAAAAAATATCTCCTTCCTGTTGAAGAAAAGCGGCTTTCATTTAATCACTTTTTTTTCTTTTTTTTTTTTTTCCTTTTTCTTCTTGGACTTTTTTTCTATCTGCGGAGGAAGTCAGAGCAACAGGCGGTAAAGAGGCTATATTGCTTATTCCGCCATTCTGACATGACGATTTTTTTTCCTTTCATTTTATTTTTGTTTTAATCTTTTCTTTGCGGACCTAGATTGACATACGTATATACGTGTTGCAATTATACAAATGAGTATGTCATGCACTTTAGCGAATACGTAAGTACATATTCGTAAAAATACTCACTGATCTACTTTGACAGGGTGCGATGAGTAAATTGTCGCCATTTTATATTTTTAATTTCGCGCATGCGCGTTGTTTGCTCTTGATTCTGTCGTTTGCACAGTATAGCAGGGTCAGTTGGGCACCGTCTGAGAGAAAAAGAACACCTTGATGAAATTTACTCCGCCAGAAATTTAGAAACGGCATGCTGTACTGATTGGTATTCACGCCAGAAGCCCCAATGCGAACATTTCAGAGTGTTTGGGTGTCAATCTGAGGACAGTTCAGAGGATTCGGAAAGAGTTGGATGAGGCTAATGGTGATTACCAAGGTACCGCAACTGGGAAACTCACTCTGATCGTTCTGATAAGAAAAGAATTCACGCATTTGTTGGTGAGGGTATCAAACACAACACGAGACCTACATCAAGTACCGTAAGGATGTAGTTCTGCCCTGGGTCAAAAGGGTGACTGCTGGAAGACCCTATGTCTGGCAACAGGAGTCTGCACTATGCCACACAAGCAGGGGAACCTAGTCATGGCTGCCAGCCAATTTCTGTAATCACATCACCCCTTGCATCTGGCTACCTAACTCCCTAGACTGCGACGCCCAGCTTAAACAAGGAGACCGTCCAGAAGAGTTTCAGGAGATTCCAAAGTCGTTTGGAGGCCGTGGTTGATGCCAATGTCGATTTCATTGAATAAATTTACACTTTAGTATTTCAAGATATTTTTGTGTAATGTTGGAAAATATATCTGTTAAAATAAAACGTCAGTTATTTTCACTTTTGCCTAATTTAGACGATAATTTATCCATCGCACCCTATATTCGCCCAAACAGGCGTACAGAAAATACGCACACGTAAGGAAGGAAGATGCATACAAGTTTATTGTTATGAGAATAAAACTAACATAAAAAATACTATATCTTCTTCTTCTATGTGCTGTGTCCCTTCAGAACGTTGGTGATTATGGCTCTTCACAACTTCCTGTCCTTTATCACTCTTAATAAATATTGTCTTTTTTTTATTTCTTCTAAACCGTTCCCGCCTTCCATTTACTCAAGTTCACTCGGTGGGTTATGCGTTGTTTTTCTCTACCTCTCTTTCCTTTAATCTGTCCCTGTGAGTATCAGATTTTCCAAGCTCTCTTTCCTCGTGACCTAGAAAATTCAACTGTCCCTTCCTGATGTTAAGTATAAGTGTCCTTTTTGTTGCCATTTTCTCTCACATGTTCTGTCAATAGTATTCTCAGCATCCTTCTGTAGAACCACATTTCTGTTGCGACATGTCTCTTCTTCATTTCTGAGGAAATTGTCCAACATTCCCTTCTATATAGGAGGACTAATACTAGATAACAGTTCAGTAATCTTTTCTTGATATCTAACGATTTTTTTTCTGTTTCTTGATTCTTAGCTTAGCTTTTGAAAGGCTTCTTTTGCTATCCCAATACACCATCGGATTTCAATGTGGCATTTTCTGTCCTTTGTTAAAAGACTTTCCAGACATTATATCTTAGATTTCGAGATAGTTGTGTATTTTATGTCGATGTTCAAGCCCGGATAAAGGCCAGGATCTAAAATGGTGATTTTAAGGGAGAAAAATCTTGAAAGATTAGCTAAAACATCTCATAAGGACTAATGCCCTCTGATCCCAGTAAAAAAAAATAAAACTATTTATATTCTACATTAAATTTAATACAACCAACTTATTCATCCGCAATAACTCTTCTCCGTCAAATAATGTTTTGCAAAAGACCAACATAGTATATTTGTTTAAATGTTCTTTGGGAGATTGTATATCTGCCAAAAAATAAGTATATATGTTGGTTTGATGATACCTATATTATCAAGAAGCCTTACACTTCATTTGTCTGATACAAGTTCTATTGCGCAACATTACTAACCACCTTCACGATACAGGAAAATACTTGTTGACAACAAATTACTACACGACGAAAATAATAAACAAAGACTTCAAGTTCTCGAGACCTTCTATATCAAAAGTGACCAATCAACACTCAACAAAATGTATTACAAGTTTAGCAGCAACGTATTGAAGTGCGTATAACAAACCTTTAATGCCATTTTGCATTTCTGCCAATTTCCTGTCAGCTCCCTTAGACTGGGACGCTTGTTTTGCAAAAAGAAAATCCATAAATTTTAAATTTTAAAATAATTATAACAGAGCGCGTTCATGCGTGTTTTTAAAAAAATCACCATCACAACAATCACCGTGACAATAATTTTTGTCTTGCAATTCACCCCTGAAGATGATCTTGGAGGAGATCGAAAGTACTTGGGTAAGAAAAACTACGGTACCTTCCTTGATTAATTTTATCTCAACATCAAGAAACTGATCAGAGAACTTGAAAGAATTATTATAAAATAAATAGACATAATATGTCTGTGGTATTCAATGAAACATCTTTGAATAAAGATATGCTACCTAAATATATATATATATATATATATATATATATATATATATATATATATATGCATGAATCAGCCCACGGTAACGTCTTGTGTAACGGTTACAGGAAGCGAGACCACACCAAAAAGAATGCAAATCCTAGAACACTAAACATGGGTATATAGTATATAGTATCTCTTTCTGATTCTTGTAAATTCTGTTATTTTTGTTTCTATTTTCTTACAACTTCTTCGCTGCTCACATGTTTCGTACATAGCATTCTCAGCATCCTTCTGTAGAACCACATCTCTATTGCCTAAAATCTCTTCTTCATCTGTATGACAATTTTTATAATAAAATTGCGAGCAATACATTTTTATATAAATACCTATTTATTTATTTATATTTATTTATTTATTTTTATTTCGCTATTGTGATCCGTCTTCGGATTTCGGTGTCACTTTTTCTGTTTTCTATTGGGATAGATTCCCAGATATTTAACTTTTTGTACTTGATTTCGACATCGCCAAATTCTAGCTTGCATCTTGGACCGTTCCTTTATCTGACACCCTAACAAAAACGACCTACACCATACGATCAGTCAGTCATGTGCCATACATGATACATGCTTAGGCGATCATGTATCTTTCGATACATGACTGACGATGCAGATTTTTCCCGCAGTAGGTTGCCATTTCTTTCTGCGGTAGACCAGTTGCCATCCAAGGTTTAGAACCCGGTGTGCCCAGCTATTTACCCATAGCTGGGGGAGAAGAAGAGGATTCATACCGTTCTCAAGAGTATTAGCACGTAAGTGAATGTAATGGATTTGACTGGGATTCGAACTCCGATTCCTCAATCCGAGCCGCTATCCGTTACTACACCGTGCTTCCTAACAAGATAAGGTGACAAAAAACAGTAAAAAGTAACAATAGGATTTATCACTGGCCGAATTTTTAGAATTAAGGGTTACCATTGTTTAAATTATGTACAGTACTGTCACCATCTTGGGCCTTCTGGTCTTCGGCGGGTAACTTTAAGGTATTTTGAACTGAATAGTATATTTAATTTACCGAAGAAAGTTGTTCTCGTTAAACTGCCCATGCACAAGGAATATCTCGTTTATTTATTTTTTTCATTACTGTTCAGTTATTTTTTAACTCGTTCCCATTGAGTTCAAATACACACTGCCCGGCTCAAGGATTGAACTCTCAATTATGCCAGCAAATTCCCGAATCTAGGTTTTAATCCACTGAGACAATTCTCAGTGGAGAACTTGAAGCCTTAAACCAACCTGCCTGCTTGTCATGGGGATGACGATAAACTACATCCGCGTCCAGGGTAAGACGATAAACTACGGCCAACAGCAAGGCTTCTGATCAGGAGGTTTTGAGGAGCGTGAAACCACTTCTTAATTGCTGGTGTTCCCAGGTCCACCCTGAAACAGGGTGGTAGCACCTGTTAGGGTCCCAGCTATGGGTAAATAGTTAACCCCAAAACTGAGGTAAAAAGCATTATGAAAGTTAAAATAGGTTTTAATACCAGAAATACTTTGTAAAAAATTATTGCCAGAAATAAATTTTTAAAGAAAAAATATATTACCAACAATACGTTTTTGAAAATAACATTACCAGCTATACAATTTTGGGGGGAAAATATTAACAGAAATAGATTTTTGACAAAACAAAAATATTAACAGGAAAAAAAAGTTGTCGGCATTAAATGACCCATTGTGGTTGATGTGCCGTAAAACAAAACAAACCAAATCAAACTGCTTGCTGGTGAGTTTTGCTTGAATGCACTCACTAATGTTTCAGTTTTTATTGCAGCTACTTCTGTTATTGAAGCTTTGCTGTCATTTCTTTTTCTTAATATATCAATGGCTCCAATATTCTATTTATTTATACGCTAGGCCTACTAAGGTGGTCCAGATAGCGTAGCATATGTGCAGATTATTTAAGATGTTTGACTCTCCAGTATTCCTCTCTGTCTCGAATTATTACTTCATTCTGCGACGCTGTGGTTTATTTTAAAATGCTTTGGAAAGTCAGGAGTTGTAACACTGATTTTCATGGCAGACAATGACTTTGCATATCAGCATAATGGAACCTTTCTAAAATTTATCTTTCTTTAGCGTTCTGCATTATTAATCGACGTTTTTAATCACAATACAACAGAAAACCTGACAATCGGGGTAAGAAGGCCTTCCGGAGATGAGGAATTGGTTACAAAGTTCGGATATGAGGGGTTATATTTAGATTAAAATAAAAGAACTGAAATCAGGTTTAACATTTATTTTCAATGTTTTATAGTAAACAAAATAAGGTCATGGTGAATGAAATATAACGGAATTGATTTTAAGGAAAAAGAAATAAATTATGTAATATTAATGAAAATTCATTAAATTAAGTATGCCACGTATGCAAAACAAATAATGTAACAAGGATTTTTTTATCGCTGTTGCATGATGATTCTTTTTCTTCTAATGTCATTCTCAACTTTTTCCGCATTTCGTTTTGCTTTTGTTCTTAAAATTTTTTTAAACGAAAGACACTTTTTAACTGCGTGCGTTAATGCAATCGTCAAAGCTGAATGCTGGCTTTCTTTCCATAAAACTGACAACCTTTTCAATAGCTTTTTCAATTTCAGTCCGGATTTCATCATAATAATGTTTTTTTTTTAATTTCCTTGTTCATTGTGACAGTGTGAACGCTGGAGAATAGTTTCTTTGGAAGATTTTATATCAGACTTTCCTATGTTGAACTCAGCTATTAGTTACGATGAACTTTCACCAGCGTCTAGTCTGTTTAAAATTTCCACTTTTTGCGATAACCCCATAGTTGCTCTTTTCCCCTTATTCCCATCATCTTTTGCACCAATGCAAGTCATTAGGGCGAAATAAGCATAAGCAATTATCCAAAGTAAATTTCCTGAAAAACAGAAATTACAAATCAGTTACATATTACCTAAATAGTTCAAATATACACATTAAAATCATGACCGGATATGCGGAATTCCGGATATGAGGGATTCCGGATATGCGGCACTCCGGATATGAGGGATTCTACTGTATACCAAACTGAGAAGGAAGTTTGACATATAAGGAAGAGGTGGGTAGAAGGAAGCATTCACATACTTCCACGATCAAATTTAATTAAGGTAAAGATCAAAATGAACAGAAATATTCGCCTTTGACATTCGCCAATCCTAGAAAGAAGGATAGAAAAAATATTGTGATGCCGTATTTAGCTTACTTAAACGAACGGGACATGGTTCGCTATATTTATCATAACAATTTCCAATTCTATTTTAATAATTGATATGAGAAAGATAGAATGAAGCCGAAAAACTTAGATGATATTGGCTGACAAAGCGAAACGAAACAGAGATGAGAATTACCAAAAGAAAAAAGTCAAGATTAAATATAGATAAAAACAAGAGAGACTAAGAAAAGAGAGAAAAAGGAGGAGAGAGATAGAAAGAGAGGGAGAGAGAGAGATAGAAAGAGAGAGAGATAGAAAGAGAGAGAGGGAGAGAGAGAGACTGATAAATTGCGGTTGATTCAAAGGTAGTAAAAGAAACACTAACGGCTGATGAAACGTCATCACTTCCGCCAGCAGGAAATAGTGCGCGACTTTTGGGATTTGTAATTTGGCACTATTTACTGAGGCATGCAGTATAGCAACAATCAGTGAAAGTCATTTATCTTGAGGAAAAACGGGATGATATCAACCCGAGGTGCGGAAGAATTTGAAACAGGAGACTACGGGAGGAAAAAAAAGTGCAAAAATAGAAGATAGAGAAGAGGAAAAAAATGAAACATGACGAAAAATGTGAAGGAGAAAGACGAAAAGAAAAATAATGCAAGACGCTTAGAAAAGAGGAAAGGCGAAATAAAAATGTAGAGAAACAGAAGAAGAAGGAAAAAATGAAAGAAAGAGATGAAAATGAATAAGGAAAGGTAAGCGAAAACGAGACGGTGAAAAGGGAAAACGAAAGAGATGACAATTATAAAATGTAAAAGGAACTCGTAACTTCTTAAATAGACGAGTCCTCTCGTAAAAAATAGGGAAAAATTCTTGGAGAAATAACGCTTGTATATTAGTATTTTTTCAGAACTTCATTAGACCGCAACACTTGTCAGAATCGAAAAGATTAATATTTTATAACTCTAGAAGGAGTTTCTTTTCATTGTATCGATATAGTGTAAAATCGATCCCTGATTTTCACTGAGTTATTGGTCTTTGGCTAAATCATTTTACAAATGTCAAGTTTGAAAATATGCTAACATCATTGATAACTTTTTTTATTATTTCTTAATGATTTTTAAAATTAAAAAAAAAAGATTTAAATTTTTTTTCGGAAGTATGTACCAAAACATTTGAGGTTAATAATTATTTATTTTAAATGAAAAATAAACGTAAACATACTTTTATTATGTCGCATAAAATTAAAGTTAAATGTAAATTTTTGTGTTTTGTACATTCTTTTATGTGCCATGTTTTTTCAGGCGATCATGGCTCTATTCCTTGCAAATCTCAGCAAGTTCTATTCCTCTGCTTCCTCTCCCAGACCAAGTTCTGTCATCCACTTGCTTAATCCCGCCAGGTATGTCATGCGTTGTTTTCCCTTGTCTCTCTTTCCCTCTATTCGACCCGTGAGTATCAGATTCTCCAAGCCCTCCTTCCTCATAATGTGTCCCCGTAAACTTCAGCAGCCTCTTCCTGATGTTAAGTATAAGCCTCCTCTTTGTTTGCATCCTCTCTAAGATCTCATCGTTGCTCACACGCTCGGTCCAGGATATCGTTAGTATCCTTCTGTAGATCCATATCACCGTCGCCACGAGTCTCTTTTTCATCTTTGAGGAATTTGTCCAACATTCGATGCCGTAAAGAAGGGCAGATGTCACGTAACAGCTCAGTATTCTTTTCTTTGTTACCAAAGAAATTCTTCTGTCTTGCAATACTCTGCCCAGCTTTTGGAATGTGTCCGTGGCTATCTCAATAATTCTAAAGATCTCAATGTAACACTTACCGTTCTCATATCCGTTTGTCGCTTATTTAAAATAAATCGTTTTGTACGCCCACAAAACAGTATATGAAATCGGTGAAGTTCAATATTTCTTTAAAAGTCAGGAATCCATTTGACACTGTATCAATATTATAAGCAGCTTCATTCTAAATCGATAAAGAATCTATATTCTTCGATTCTGACAAATGTCGCTGCCAAGGAATGTCTAAAGAATTCTAATATACAACATTATTAAAAACATTTCCCTATTTTTTAAGAGTGGACCGGTCTATTTAATTATTGACTGTTATGAATAATCAAGAGTGATCTTCCTTTGTTTTGTTACTTTCCTCATTGAGAGAGGTATTTCTTTTTACTGGTACTATAAAAGGACACTATACGCGAAACTTGTATTTTCAGTTGAATGAAGATTACTTAAAACCTACACATGCTTACTTTTGTCATTACATTGACAAAGAAATGATGAAAAGATAAAATCATGTAGAAACAACGCTACATAAATGTACTTCTGTTTCGATGTGTATCATCACATTTCATCAAGCGGTAGTAAATGACTAATTATTATAATCATTAGGATTTACTTACAAACAACCTCTTTTCTCGCTAAAAATGAAAGAAACGGAGAAAAGCAAGCAAGAAAGAAAGACACAAGATATAATCTCTTCTACAGAGAAAAGGAAGAAGAGAAAAATATAAATATAAGAAAAGTATATATATTATAATGTAAAGTAGCAAGATATATTATTTTAAGGACGCATATTTTCTATGAAATTGATTGTAATATCCTTTAATAAAGAATATTGATCTACTATTGGATTGAGCCCTATTTTAAATTAATGTTATGAATGTTGGAATTTATATTTGATTCGTTTTCATTTGTATATATATATATATATATATATATATGGGGGAGAATTGAAGATCGGTTTTGGTTTGGTTTGGTTTATTTTTTGTTTTACGGCATATCAACCTCTATGGGTTATTTAATGCCGACAACATTTTTAGGATAGATTCGTATGAATAGAATATATATTCTTTGGTTTAGATTGGTTTGGTTTACTTTGATTTACGGCATATCAACCTCTATGGGTTATTTAATGCCGACAACATTTTTAGGATAGATTCGTATGAATAGAATATGTATTCTTTGGTTTAGATTGGTTTGGTTTATTTTGTTTTACGGTATATCAACCTCATTGGGTTATTTAATATCGACAAAATTTTTTATTGCTGATAATATTTTGCTTTGTCAAAAATCTGTTTGTGGTAATATTTTTCCTTCAAAATTGTATTGCTGGTAATAATTTTAAAAAAAAATATTGCTGGTAATAGTGAACTTTTTTCCCCATAGCCGGCACCCTAACAGGTGCTTCTACCCCGGGTCTGAGTGAACCTGGGAACACTAGCAATTAAGAGGTGGTTCCACGCTCCTCAAAACCTCCTGATCAGTAGGCCTTGCTGCTGGACGTAGTTTATCGTCTTACCCAGGACACGGATGCAGTTGAAGATCGGAGGGTTCACAAATATAATGAATGAAATAAAATAAAAGACTGACTTGAAGAAAAAGTAATACAGAAAAAATAGAAAGAAAAAAAAAAAACGCGGAAAGAAATAAAAATAAGAACGATTATAAAGGGAATAAAAGAAACGAAGAAATGTTTTCGATAAGAAAAAGGAAAAAGCGTAAAGGAAAATAAATAAAAGAAAAATGCGGACAAAGGAAAGAAAAACTCTTTAAGAAATAAAATGGGAAGGAAAATTTAATGAAAGAAAAAACATGAAATAAAAGACCGTAAGAAAGAATGAAACAAATAAAAAGATTATTAAATAATGTAACTAAAAGCATTAAGTTTTTTTAAACAGTAAAAACATATGAAGGCAAACGTGTTTTAAAATAAGTAAATTAAGAAAATATTTCCGACTTATATAAACCGGCATTTGTAGTTTGTTTCTGGACACACGGCGCCAATGATAGAATATTTGACAAAATAAAAAAGAACAGCATTAAAATTATGTTTCCTGTTTCCCGCCAAAATGTGGTACTCTCTCTCGCTCTCAGAGAGAATGGCTGCCGTTATGAATCTAAGTAAAGCAACAGCGCAAGATTATTTGTGATCAAGGTGTGTATGTGTGGGTGTGTGCGTGCGTGTGTACGAACATGTATATAAGTAAATATACATGTCAATACAGTTGTATTGTATTTGTGTATTTCTGGGGGTGCTGAAAAATTTCCAGTATAATCAGGAAGCCCCCCACCCCACAGACACAAGAAGAGAAAAACAATTTTTTCATTTTGTCAGATTATAGTAAGTGAACTAACGGCAGCCACCCCTTACCAACTAATTCAGAGGACGCTAAATAAATGAGGCTAAATTATAAAGAAAAACAAAAACATATATATAAATATATATATATATATATATATATATATATATATATATATATATATATATATACGAGTTGCTTGAAATCTTCCATGCAAACAAAACAAACTATCATTTTTGCTATGTCCGTGTATTGTTTAATTTATTGTAATGTAATGTACTTGTCATCTGTGATGATGTCTTATGTAAGCCGAAAGCTTAGATAGGATTAAAAACATGTATCAATATGGTGATTTTCTTTCGTCTTTTAATGATAATGTTATTAAGCTTATCAGACGATATGAAAGGAATTTGCTGAAAATAAATAGGCAAAACTTGTTAATATTATTTAATGAAACATGCATTAATGAAATAATGCTCCCTAAATACACACACACACACACACACACACACACACGTGTGTGTGTGTGTGTGTGTGTGTGTGTGTGTGTGTGTGTGCCGGATATAACAGCAAAATTGACTAAATCGTGTAAAAGCAAAATCGTTGATTTGTTTTAAGATTTGAACCGTTGTATGTTAGAAATGATTAAAGATATCTTACTGGAATTCGCCGAGGTTTTTATAACACTATTGGACTTACTTTCAGCAATAAGAATGTATAATTACTCTCCAAGCTTAACAGAAGAACCATGATGAAATCTATCATAAGCGAAAATGACATGTTCATCATTAATTAATCATAACTAAGGATCGGAAGCTCATAAAGGATTGAAATAAAGTTCTAATATATATATATATATATATATATTATTCCAGGATAATTTTCCAACTTATTCAAGATGATCTTTGCTCTCTCTAACGTTCTAACTTTCTGTCCTGGAGTAACAGGATGCCTCACAGTTTTCACGTATGATTTCATTTTCAAATCTTTTTTCACTGATCTTTGAACTGTCATAGCTTAAACGCTTCTGTCACGTGCCAAATGTCTTATGGATTGAGTTGGATCTTTTTTAATTGATCTCTTTAGCTCTAAGTTGAAATGTTGATCCCTCTTCTTGTTGGGACCTCTTGATCCAGTTTTCGTCCCTACTGTTCCCCCTTAAACTTATTCACCGTTCTCTTGATGGTTCTTGAATGGACTTTGAAGATGGAAACCAAAGTTTGAATGTTGTTGCCATTACTGAAGTTCTGAAGAATTATTTTCCTCTCACTATTGCTCATTTGGGAGGACAGTGGGTCTGATACAAAAC